AACCAATATGAATCTTTGTAAGGATTTTTATGAAGTTTAGGCCATCTTTAAAATTTTTTTGGTTGCCCTCTCCCGACCGAATGACTAAAAATGGCCCCACTCAAAACTTTTTTCACATTCCTGGACTTTTGTAATATATTTTCATCCTAGGTATTCTTCTTATCCAGTCAACAAAAATGTTGAAATTTTCTGGAAAAAAGATTTTACCACCAACTAACCTATCCTATAATTTTACCTGGGTCGGGAGAGGGCAAGCAAACATCATTTTTAAGATGGCCTTTGGTATCCAGTAGAAGTGTAATTTAGTCAAATTCAAGTTGATTATTGGGAACATCCAAAAATATTCAAAATTGACCCATGATTTAAAAGAATTTCCTACTCGGAAATGGAACTATAGGTATAACTTAGATTACCACATGCAGAATTAATTCCCAGACCCATCTCATTTTATAATTATAAGTGCCCACTGCACAATACACTTTGTTACCGCTACTCCACCGTAAATGATACTGATACGAAACCTACATCACTGCCTCCTTTTCTTTACGTGATTTCCAAATTATTCATTGCAAAAACAGGTACAACCCCTTAAAATCTTGAGCTTTCATCATTAGAGCCTAATTTTTAAATTGTGATTATTAGAAACATTAGACTGGCTGCAATCATTCGGCAAACCTCGGCTGATTTCGTCACGTTCACCGATGGGGTATGAATCGGCCGGTGTGACTGCAATTTACCTGTGACCTTGAATTTGAGTCAAGGTCAAAATCATCGTAACTTAGAGTAAGCGCTGATATAGGTCATGTATGATATTGTATTTTGATCTTTGTCCTTGACCCCAACCAAAGAGTCAGGAGTAAAATGAAGAACATGTGTCTAGATTTTGGTAGATGTCTTAGTTTTAGAATCTTAGGATAGAATGTAGAAATATTTCAAAACAATGAACATTGACCCTTGACCCAAAGGTCACAAACAAGCTAAAAGAGTGAAGCTTGTTACAAATACAAGTTTATAAAAGGTTAAGAATACTTTATAATAATTTAACCCCCTCAGGTCCTCTCCATAAAAAAAAAAAAATCACACAAGTTCCTACAATTCAAACTGCATTTTGGATCAACATCAAAGTTTTGGGAACCGTAGTCAAGACTCTTGTGATTTTCTCTCAAACATATAAAAATGATGAGTTTTTAGAAAGAATCTTCCTTGTGAGTTTCTCTTATAATTCTAGATCTTTGAATTTTCAACAACATTTTTATGTGCAGTAGTGCTTTCTGTTCCACAAAATGAAAAAAAATTGATACATAAACTTTAAGAAACTTTACTTTAAACCAAAAATAAAAGTATGTTATACATATTTAACAACAACAAAAATTCCAGCATGTAAGTTAATATTTAAATAGAAATCATACTGCATGCCTAAATTAAGACAAATATGAACAACTGTTAATTAATGTGATTTACAATCTTAGAAACAAGAGGCCCATGAGCCTTACCTGTACAACACAGATCAGAAAAAGATTATGGAATGGTAAATACACGTAATTAATAAACTGAAAGAAAAGGGACCTTCAGGGCTTCAGAAAAAAATTCAGTCTGGTAATCAGCATTAGTCTTTAGAAAAAATAGTATGTCCTTAAATTGAGGTAAGAAATTTCTGTGAAAAAAAATGACAAAAAATAGCCAAGAGGTTCTTGAGATATGGCCCATTCTCCAAAAAGTTTACTGACTTGCATAAATGGCCATAGCATTGGCTCTATAAACTTTTGGCCCAGAAGAGCTAAAAATTTAGTATTATATAAAAAATACATTTATTAAATAATGTCTATGGTCATAAAAGTATGTCTATAAATGGTGCAGAAATAAAACAAAATATCAAGTTTCAAATTAAGAATGCTTACATTATGCTAAATCATGATTTGATATTTTGATTCTTTAAGAAGAAATCTTTTTCAAGAGATATGAAGTCTGTATTAAAAAAAAAGGCAAGAGGACTAGCATTTTTTTTTAAACTTTACAAAGGACTTTAAATAAGCAGAGATTCTATAATCACATATTGTTAATTAGTGAACACCACCATTCATACAAAAAATTAGAAACATTTTAATAAATATACAAATGTAATATATCTGATCCCTTCTTAAATCCTGATGAATACACTTGCTTTGATTTGGATTTTGCCATCTTCGCTAGCCAAGGGTTTTCGGTCCGCAACGCTCCCCATAAACCCTTGGCTGATATGCACTGTAAAAACGCCGGTCACACATAGCGCCATCTGTAAATTCTTCAAAAAGAACGACAATTCTGGTTGAAGCAAACAGCCAATGAAATGATAGCTATTATGTATGTTTCAGTAGAAAATTATACACAATATGGCCACTTTCATTGAAACAACATTTGGAATACAAAAATTAAATTCTTTCCAACAAGAAGCGATATATGCTTTAACGGACAGACCTGGTGTGTTCATAGGAATGAAAACGGGTTTACACATGCGCTAGAATTTCCTCAAAAACTTCTCAAAAGTTCTAGGCCATAAATTGAAAACAGTTTTTTCATTGGTCCACAGTCAGCTACAACTCTCCAATGAAAATTGACTGGCGTTTTACAACGCATATAGGCCAAGGGTATATGGGGAGTGTTGCGGACCGAAAACCCTTGGCTAGCAAAGATGGGATTTTGCCAGATTTTAAAGAACAAATTAGTACTTTGTCACTGTGGATTGTTCCTCGGATTCTTTTGTTTTATCTTCATTCTTATCTAGTTTATGAGGCATGTCTACTCTGACTTGGGACAATTTCTTTTCTTCAAACATTTCTTGGTCTCTTTTCTCTTTGGCCTTTTCTCTCTCCTCCTGTAAGCAAACATTTTAGTAAATGTCTGAAACAAGCATGGTTGCTTATATTTCTGGAATTCTAGCGGGTGGGGTCAGGTTGGGGGGTTAATTTGTCACAGTTGCAATTATCAAATGAAAACAATTATAAAACTATTAAGTTATGAATAGAAAAACAAAAGCTTTATAGATATACTATGGGTAAAAATACAGATATGCATACTTCATGCAAACTACAGAAAAATCAAAGAACAAGGTTCACCTTTGCCTTATTAGGCCCTGTGTATTTCTGAAAATCTTAAACTCCATAGTTTTAGCTAACAGTGCATTGAATATTCCTTAGATCTTTGGTGACTGCATATCTATCAAAAATGACGTAATTTTCTGGCTAGTCAATGCATTATGACGTCACGAATTGCGTCAATTTCCTCATATTCTGAAAAAGTGTACAAAAACGGCCAATTTTTAAAGCTATTTTTCAATATTTAAAGTGGAACGCAACCTCTGATCTAAAATATGCAACTCGTATATGATAGAACTGTTTTTGAGAATTAAAAGACAGGTTTTATTTTTTAGATCAGAGAGTGCGCTCATAGTATTTTTCTTCCCGGAAAGTACTCAATTATGCCTGTTTACCTAGAAATTTAAGAACACTGCAATTTCATAAAGCCAGTTCTCCAAGACCTGGACTTTTAGGAGAAAATTTTTAATACGATATGAAAGCACTAAGTCTCTATTTCATTTTAATGCTTCAAATTGAAAATCAAGTGTTGATCAATCAATTGGTATATCTACAGGGCCATTTTATGGATAAAGTGAACCGACTTCTTTATCAAACGTTTTAAAATATGCCGATAATGGGTTCTAAATGGAGTGTACAGTAATTTTCATCCAAAGAAAGTTTTAATTCTTTTTTTATAACATCAGCAAATCATGGCTATTTTTCTTCATTACACACTGATTTTCCTGAGATACGAACTTACCTCTTCTTTAAGACGGTAGTATTCATCTATTGCATACTGGTATTTTGGTGTGGTGATGCCAAAAAACCATGCTAGCTTTTCTCCACAAGTGTCTGCCACTATCAAAAGTATAAAGAAAGTTATTGTAACAATTTTTTGGTATGATATTTTAAAAGATTTCAAATTAGACTTGCTACTTATATTCATAGAAAAAAAAATTATCTTTGTTTTCTGGTACTGATCTGAATGCTGATACAAAAAACATTCCAATTAAGTATTCTGACTCAGTAATTATAAGAGTTGTCCCGGGTAATGCTGATGATCAGTTTTAAATCTTGTAACTGTAATTTGCATTATACCATATAGCGTTCCTTTTGCTGTGTTCACAATGTAATACCAAAACCAAGGCAACCAATTCAGCTCTTTCTGAAATAAAAGATAAATACAATGTAAAATAGCAAGTAATCAGCGTAACTTTATTTTGGTATATAATAGTTGTAAGTTCTTTTGTAAAAGGGGCTCAGGACTTTTAGAAAGTAAGCAGCTAGTAAAAAAAGCAAGTGATATAAGCACCTAAAATTATGAGAATAACAACCTGCATCAATTAGAAACATCATGTAAATTCAGACTCTTTTAATTAGAGCAATGTTATAGGGTTCGATGATACATTTGATGTACTGGTAAATTGCAACTGAATTCTATTTTTTGATAGTTTTTTTTAATGCTGAATGCCAGAGTAACCTTGGAAACCTCTCTTTTATGATATATAGTTTTCCACATTCTGTCAGAGCCTTCTTTTAAGTAACTGTTATTACAATGTTTTTTTCTTGTAGAAACAGTTGACTCTCTACTCTGTCAATGAGCGTGGGTCTCTGTGCTTCTGAGTACTTAGATCAGATTATATTGCAGTCCTTACTGGGTTGATCTTTGGTTCTATGGGTTTATCCTCTTCTTCATCTGTTGAGTATTCTTCTAAAACCCCATCACTGCAGTAGATCAACCTTCGTGGAGTTTTCTTTTTGGGTGGTTCAGGGTCACCCTCCAGTGAAATGTTTGTAAAGTCACTCGGTTCCTATTGAATTTAATTCATTAATTAGTACTCAGTCCAATTACATTTATTAGTTTGTAACTAATTTTATTTCGTAATTGATAATCATGATAATATAAATGTATAAAATATTTAATACAGTGAAACCTGTCTAATCCGACATGCACTGGGAGACAAATTTTGTGTCAGAACAGACAGACTGTCGGATTGCACAGCATAAAAAATGTGGAAAAGAGTAAAATGGGAAAGAAATACAAAGTCAGAATTCACAAAATCACAGCGTGTCGAATTTCATAAGTGTCGGATTAGACAGTTATCACTGTAAATGTATAATAGCTAAATTAGAACAATTGATGAGTTCTAATAGGTCCTACTAGTACAGTGCATACTTCCCTAGTACTTTTAGGCATTGAATATTGAAATTCATTCTTAAAATTTGGGAAATCTATATTTCTGACAACAGTCATGTAACACAGTAACAAGCAGACACATGTATGAGCATTCATTTAAGCAAAGGGACTTTCATTTGGGTGTAAAAAAAATCAAAACAAGAATCATTTGATTTGTTATGATACATCATTACATGGTTAAAAATACACAGCGAGAGCAATCCTTGGGTGTGCAAATCCCTTGTGATGTTGGAATTGCGCATTACATTTTAAATTTTCCAAGATAAGAAGTGGTATTCATATTAAATATGCGATATTTGAACTTTTTCTAGATACACAATTGAAAGAGAATGAAGTCCAGAAAGACGACTTCAGTTTTACTTAAGCTTGAACAACTTCCTGAGAACAGTGCACTGTGTAGGTGAACGTGTCCTTTTTTATAGTCTGTCCCACGACCGGAACGTCACTACTTTTTGCAAAATATCTCAAATTTAATAAATACCTTGGCTTTCAACCTATGT